TGGCACTCCAAATATACATGGCCATAATCTGATCCTAATTATGAGAATTGTAAATTTATAAATTAAAAACTACTCCCTGTTTTAGCATAAAACTGTGGCTGGGGACAGGTTCTTGCTCACAATGGAAGTGCTTCATGGTTAGTAATGTTATTCTTGAAAAATAGTAATCTAAGGCAGTAGTAGTAGCAGCAATTGTAGTATGTTGTTTCGTGACCCTTAATTTCACTTTTGCATTTTTTATTGATGTGTCACATAGTATTCTGGCTGTCCAGCACATACTATCTCTGTCTTCTTAACACATTTTCACATTAGATTATTCTCATTAAAATGATCTGAAAGTTGAAATGTGTCCAAACTCATCTGTATTTGAAATATTATCTCTGCTACCAGGAGTAATTGCTCCTCTCGTGACTTCTGCTTCTAGTATCATATGTCCTATGCTGACCAAGAACGCTATGAAAATGAAGAAAGGCCAGAGGTGCAAAGGCAAATTCTCGCCGAAATTGCAAGGAAGTTGCCGGTCTACACCAGAACAGGGAATGGAGGTCAGCTAAGCAGAGAGTTTTGTTTCTCTCAAACTAATCAAGCATGCTAAAGTAGCATATGCTGGCAATTCGGATGATACTGCCGACCAACAGGGTATTCCTAAAGCCACTGCATGCACCGTGTAACTTCTTGTGCAAATAATTTTAGTGCATTTTCGTTCAGGATTTATGTTTGGGAAAACAAAAGAGCCTTGAACACTTCCATTCAAGTGGAGTACCAAGTGCTGCCTTTGAGAACGAATATATATTTACAGTTTAAAACCCTACTTACATTGTATGTGTTTAGAAATAGTAATAGTGACAAAATCCTTAGTTGTTTTTACTTGAAAAGGAGTCTATCTTAGAGATTCAGGACATAATTATTTGAACAGATTTCTGGACCTTGTTCTGTGACTGAATGCATACTGTGCTCATTTCAAAGATTAGAAGAAATCCATGTTCATATTGGAGGCTCTGATGTGTTAATTTCTGCCAGAGAAGCCAGAGAATTCTGAAGTAAAAAGCTGCTATAGAGGCAATTACCAAAATGGAATGTACGTAAAGTCTGAGTAAATGTGGAAGCCAGAGGGAAATGTACAGTTTTGTTGTATCCCTTTTAAGCTGGTTCTATGCTTTGCAGTGAGGATTGTTCCCCACATCTGCAGGTCTCCAGGAGAATTCTGAGCATTGCTTATCTGATTATGTCCTGGCAGCAAAACTCAGCTGCAAATGCACTCATCTTTTGAAGTGGTAGAGGGAAGAACACGGATAGTTAGGAAACGAGCAGAATGTTAACTAACATGTGAAAAGAACACTGTTCTATTCTTTGCTATTAATGTGCCTCTAATTTCAGGTATTCGATTCTGTGATAGGTGCCAGCTAATAAAACCTGATCGTTGTCACCATTGTTCCGTTTGTGCTGTGTAAGTTCCTGGACTGTTTTTCACTGAAGTAAATATCGTCACCGCTGAGTTATGTGAACAGGCTGGTCCTCCACGTGTCTTTTTACACGGAAAGGTGCCTGAGTACCTCTGGTCCAGCTGCAGTCAGCAGTGGATGTTGGTGTGTGACAGCGGTACCATGGGCATTGCTGCTATTTGTGGCCCTGAAGTGTTTGCTGTTCCCACACCTACAAGGGTATCAGCATTAAGTCGCTAGAAAGCATGTGCCATCTAGTGAAAATTAACTGTTTAACCTAGGCAGGTTAAACTGAAGTATGGTTTTGACTTTTTTTTTTAATATTCCAAACAAAGTTTTAAGCCCTCTAGGGCAGAATTTATTTTCAATGATACCTACCTTAAAAAATTCAAAGAGATATTATCATCTTGAGATAGTGTTGTGTAGAAATCTCACAAAAACTAGAGGCTTTTGCTATTGATCTGCAGTTGTCAATTAAGTACCAAATATAAATCTTTGATTTTTCTTTTTTGTCCCTTTGCAGATGCGTGCTAAAAATGGATCATCACTGTCCGTGGTATGTTCTAGATACTGGTTTGTACTTTTCTGAAAAGAGAGGTTGTTTAAATACATTTCTGCCACAGAACAGACACTGTATGCCTCTCTCGTTTTAGACCATTATGCTGGGAAATTTATAAAATAATTCCACTTTGAAATTGCCTGAAATATTTGGTGTTTTGAAAGCCAGATCACTTGTGTTTGTTCCATGGGCTATGTGTAAAAGAGCTGTTTTATCAATACAATTTAAAGCCCCACTGCTTTGGGTATATAATCGTTTCAGCCTGCAGTTGGTGGTTGCTTTCAATAAAAAGACTTGCACACAGATTGTTTCTGGAATGATGCCTGTCACTTGTGCACAGTCAGGGACAGTTTGTATAGACTGGTGCATGGATGACTTAAGCTTTATACTTTTTGAGAATCGGTGCCACTAAATTTCTTAAACTCCTTCTTTTTTTTTTGAAAAAGAAGGTTTCAGAAATCAGAGGCAACACAAACATTTCCCCACCTGAACCTCCCTGGTAGTCCTAAATTGTAGGGGATATTTCAAACGGGAGTTTTGAGGCAAATACCTACTATTTTTGTCTGCACTCCCTTGTTCCTTTCTAGAGTTGTCCTGTTGTCCTGTGCATGGAGAATTACAATCAAATTTGGGTTTATTGGGTTTGTATGTCAACAAACAAGCAGTGGTGAATCTGGCTGCTGAGTTTTGCAAATGGATCAAGTAACACAGACACCCCAGATCTCGTTACCTTTGGAGACAAGAAACAGTCACGAGTAATTAGAGCCTGCCTCTGTGACAAGTTCACCTGCGGCACCAACTTTAAAGCAGATTCCAAAATTGTGAACTGTCCTTTTACTTGGCATAGCAAGAAGCGGTCAAGTGAAAAGCAGAGACTTCAGTTCTATTTCATTTTGACCACTAAGGGGAGCTATGTATTGAGGAAATCACGTTGTAGAATCAAGAGGCTTAATAAAACCCCCCAAACTGTACAATTCATTGTGTTACAACCGTGTGCTGTACATACCCTGACTTCAACTTTGCTTTTGTTCTCTAGGGTGAATAACTGCATTGGATTTTCTAACTACAAATTCTTTCTACTGTTCTTAGCCTATGCTTTGTTGTATTGCATGTATATTGCTGCAACAGTCTTCAAGTATTTCATTAAGTATTGGACAGTAAGTTGTGAAACCTGGTTACTTTTTCATATCCTATGAGTCTGGTGGGGTTTAGTCACTCTTGGTACTTTTTTGCTTTCAGTCTCCACTGAGAGATGGTCTGCATTTCTTGTGTAAGCTATTTCCTTGTGCCCTTTTTTTAAGTATAACTCCCATTATATGTCTGAAATGCACAAAGCAAGAGGCAAATAGACTTCTGGAATTTCAAATTGTAGGGTTAGCTTCTGGCAAAGAAGATATATCCTTTACCTGGTCTTGTGTTTGCATGCATGTATCTCACAATCTTTGGAAAATTACCAGAAGTTTCTTTCTTTGGAGAAATCTAATGTCATTCAAAACAAGACACACTTCACCGAAAGAGAGACCACGATTGCTCTTTGGAAATATGTTCTCGTGCTTTTTCAATACACATTAGGATACATCATGACTCATAGCACTGAAATCAGAGGTGTTATAGAGGGATAAACACCATATGAGTTAAGTTATACTCTTAGATATAAATGTGTTAATCTTCCCATCTCTAAATACAGCTGCTGTTGTCTGGCCATATCTCTGTGCTTAAAAAGAACCCCTAAACTTCTACTGATTATGGGAATAATTGTCTTCTAAACAGAAATTTTTAGCTGTCAACATTTGATGCTTCTAAACCGGTTGCAAGAATACTTCCTATATATTTGTCATATTACAGGAAACCATTAATCATGGGTAGGTGGTATTCTTTGATGTTGATTCCTGACCTGCAGATCCTGAGGTTGCTATCATGCTGCTTAATGTAACTGACGGTTTCCAAAATCTTAATTTCTTGAACAGTATCTGCTCCCTTCTCTCCTCTGGCATCAACATGTAACATACTGGCACTGATCTGTACATATTTACTGGAAAATATCAAAAAGCCTTGTTCATTTTCTAATCCCCACATGACTCCTTTCTCAATTTAAAAGTTGACGGTAACAAGGTACGCTTCTCATTCAATTCCTGATTGTCATTCATATGCCAGCAATGCCACTGACAGCTCCTGTAAGAGTCTGGCCTTCCGTCTCTAGGTTTTTTTTACATCCCCTCTGCTGCTAACTCTGTATAGACTGTGTTTAAGTAACTTAACTTTGCTCTGCATTAATTTATTGAATTTCTGTTGTTTTAATGGCTAATCAGTTACCTAAGATGCCTCCGGGGATGCTGGTGGGACAGTAGCAGGAATAGTTTCTTATGCTAAGAAAGGCACACAGACGAGCTCTGTGGCTGCACAGATGGCATGAGCAAAGGCTGAGAAGTAATTTTTAACTTCGAGCTCCCCACAGCCTCTCTGTCGATGTGTGCTTATGAGGACCTCTGGCACTTGACTCTTCCCCTGTAGAAGGGAAGAAGTGTTTCTTCTGCTTGTAAGATCCCACTTGGCTTTTAAACTTTTCCAAACCATCTCTGCTCAGTTCTAAAGCTACCTGATTGCTGTGGCTATGAAGGCCGGGTTTTCTTGGCATGCCTTCTAGGGCAAAAGGGGCAGAATTTTCATATGTGCACAGGAAACCCAGGAGAACATAAACAGGTCTTCAAGAGCTTGTGCTTGCTTCTTTCCCTGTGGGCACAAGGCATGTTTCTTGTGCCTGAGTGGGAAGCTGTGATTGGGCTGGCTCTGTTACATTTGAGGAGCCAGTAGCAAAGCCCCACACCTCCTGCTTTGGTTACAGGAGGGGAAAGGAATCAGAGCATTTCTTTGTCCCTTCTGGCTTTTTATAGTAGGGTGTGACTTTTGTGTATACAAGTTTGAGAACTCTAGATAGGAGTTTTGGAGGCTATCTTTCTTCTCTTTAGAAGCAAGGAATTTCCAGCTCTTGTTTTCTCCTACCACTTGTTCTATGTTGCTTTTCTCTCCAGGGTGAACTGACTAATGGACGTTCGAAATTTCATGTAATTTTCCTACTCTCTGTGGTGGTCATGTTCTTCATAACATGGTGGCAACAGGCGGTGCAATGCCCTGCCAGAACCAGTGTCTTGGCCTGCGGTTGCAGGAAGAGCAGCTGTCGGTGGTGACAGCCAGTGGCAGCTCTCGGATGAGCCACTTCACGGAGCCCAGTATTCTCTGAATGCTTATTTTCTATGATTGCTTTTTTTTAACCAAGTACTGAAACATCTACAATTTGAACTGTTAATTAGCTGACTCGACATGCCCAGTAATAAACATCAATATATCAGACTTCAGCTGTCTGCTTTGTATTTAAGGTTAATACTTCTAGTCCCCTGCGGACAAGAAAATATGTTAAAGGGAAGGGAAGCAGGATAACACAGAGATGGGGACAGTTAAGATGGGAAGACAAATCCATTTGTGGTACAGGCAGATACAACAACAAAAAAGCTCTAAACATTTTCTTAGTATTGCCCTTCATGTCTGAAAGTAATTTATTACAGTACTGAAAGGCTAAGTGCATAGTTTCAACAGTCTACTCATTATTAGTGCAGTAATTCTTTATCGACAAAGTCTACCCATTATTAGTGCAGTAAAACCTTATATACACATACTAAACCAGTCTAGTTGTAAATAGTTACACCCTCTGCAGTCTTCAGTAATTGTCAGTTTTTCCAAACTCGCTGTGATCCCTCAGCGTGCAGGCACCTTCTCCAACTGCCTTGCTGAATGCTAATGAGCTTCCACCTAATTTAACCACAGGAAGACATCTTGTCCACATCAACACCTATTACCAGCTCCAAAATGGGGATGTGAGGCTTAGTAGAGATATGCCCATTGATTTTTTTTTTTTCTTTTAAAAATTGGAAGTCACACCAGGCACTGTAAATTAGAGCAATAAGACAGGCATGAGGACCATTATATCATGTCTGTATCAGGGAACTGTCTTAGTGTTTACCAAATAACTTGAAACCATTCCTAATGCAAGATAGAGAAGGTAAAAATGAAGGAAGAAACTAGATATGGAAATCCATATATTAACAACACAGTATATTTAGAGGCAGCATGAAGCATTATATTAAGGGCACACGTAGCGAAGGGCACCTAGCTATGCTTTAGGCCAGCTCTGAGATTCTTCTCCCTGTCTTCCAGCTATTTGTCTGACAGATGGTGGTATAGTTTTGTGGCTGAGATCCAGAAGTCAAACTCTTTCTGGGATTTAGAATTCATCAAAGGGCGTCTGGAATTAGGACATGTGTGTGTGTATATACATATATATATGTGTGTGTGTGTGTGTGTATATGTTAGGACAAGCTGTCCCCAACTTTTTATTCAGACCTTTCTCTTCTAAGTATTTCCTGGGATTTGTAATTCATTTTAACATTCTCCTTGAAGGGTTTAGTGTGCCCTAGCCCTATGTAAAAATTCTTTAACAACCTATGTTTAGAAATGCTTTTTCCTTGGATGGAGTGAGTTGAAATCATCTTCTATCCATACAATGGGATTGCTTAATATTTCTTCTGGTACATCAACAGAATGTGTTCACAAACCTATTAAAAATATAGCTAGTACCTATTAGCAATGCTCCCTCCATTTGGATACATTCTTTGAACAGTGAAGCTGGTTTCATATAAGCATGTAAGCTGCCAGCGCTGCTTCTTACGAGACTACAAATAAGCATGTAGCTTGTTACTCTTCCTTGATCAGGATTAAATGCAGTCATAATCAAACATATTCAGGATGAGAATAGGTTTATAAGGAATGATATCAACCCTGGCTTTGAGGATTCTATGATAAAAACTGATGCTTCAAAAGGCCTGAATTAATATACCTATGGGAATAATGTGAACCAATTTTTACAGCTTTTTATAAAAACTTTTCTTTTATTGTAGTTCATTCTTTCATTCTGCCCTGTATTTCACAGTTCACATCCATCTGCAAATGTAATTTTTTTCTCCATTCTGACTCCATATTCCCCCATTGATCTATTTTGAAATAAATTGAATAAATTAATTCCAGTTTATTGTCTCTGAAATGCCTTGATTTTATGAGGTATGTAATAACTACACACTGGAATTTCTGTGCTTCTGCATTACACCCTGATGTATAGTTTTTACAGGAAAAAAACTAAGTACCCACTTGCAGTATTTTTTAATAGGCAGATGATGCTCTGAAAGTGTTGAGAAAACATGAGTAAATTAGTCTTCATGCCAACACCCCATATGTCAGGGATGCCATCATTTTCTGTCTTCATTTTGCTGTTGGGGATACTGAGACATCCCTGACACAGCTGTACTGCATGTCAGGGCATAACACGCCCTTGTTCAGCACCCTGACCTTTTTCTCAAGCCCTGGTTTGCTGTCTGCCCAGCTCTTGGAAGGACTGGTGGCTGTACTCCAGAGTATACACAAGTGCACCCCTCCAATTAGTACAATATTAGTTTGCCACAGTTTTTTAGCATTCAATATTTTAGTATTTTAGTATTAGCATCATAATATTTGGTGGTGCTTGGAGAGGTGATGTGGAAAGGTCCAGATTAGATATATTTTACAATTCTATTCGCAAATCTCCTCTGTGCTATTTCCATCCCCAGAGTTTCTATTCCTTCTACTGAGCTGCTTCTGTTATCTTTTCTGAGGGTCAACTCTGGAGCATGCATTGATTTCTGTCTGTCTCCAAGGAGATCCTCCACTTCTACACTAAATCTGCAGAGAAACAGATTTTTTGTTTTTCTGGCAAGCTGCTTTAAACTGTGTAAGTTATACAACTCGTCTGTTAACCTTCTCTGTCTACAGCATAAGCTTTGTTCTTCTGGTGAGGTCACTGGGAGAGAAGGGGTTGCCATGTTTCTGACCACAGTAGGTATATATGGCCTCTTTTTCTTTCCGTGTCTCTCTTGGGGTTTGTGCAGTGCCTTGTACAGGTACCAGTCATCCAGTATCCTGTAAATAAACTGGTATCAGAAGGAGAAAGAGAAGATCGTAACTGGAAAAAAGGCTGAAATAGTAGCGGGAGGAAATGAAACCACCAGCATGGGAGAGTTACTGAAGAAAGAACAGCAAGTAAAGGCAAAATTTGCAGGGAAAATTTTAATGTCAAACATATTAAGCACTTTATTAGCCTTAAAAGTGTGGGCAAAATAAAATGCTGTGCATTAGCACAGAAAGTAGAAATTCTAAGGCTGATTTTTTCTTAGTCCATGATAATGGAATATTAAAATTATTAATCATAAAATTATCCCTCAAATACCACATAGCCACTTGATGTTGTTACGTCTGTACACAGATAAGTGATGCCAGATTTTTCAGGGCAGATAATATTCTCATGCCTTAGCCATTTTCAGCCTAAACATCTTAAATGAGGGGATACCAAGTATCCTGTCACAGTTCCATGATGACAATTACTTGCCAGTTACTTATCTTCAGCTTTTCTCCATTTCATTTGATCCCCCTATTTCCAGTTCTCCTTCCTTCTTTCATCATTAATAATTTCTCTCCCTTCTTACATGTTCACAGCACAGGGTATAATC